CGGATTCTAGTAAGTCTGTGCTTTCCCCCATAACTCAGAGTCATCCATAAAGTGGCACAGGGTCTCGGGCCACTGTTCCAGAGGACAGTGCTGTGCAGAACAGAGAGGGAACACTCCGTCCCCAACCGCACCACGCCTTCTTACCCAGGGTCCTGTCGACAGGTGGTTGGGGAGTCACAGGGAGACTTGAGGGAACCGTGGCCGCCAGGGGAGTGGTTTGGACCAGCCAACACTGAGCCGGGTTCTCATCTGCACCGTCAGAGCAGTCCCGCACTCCGTCACACACCTGCACGCGGCTCAAGCAGACGCCGTCTGGACAAGGCAGCTGTCCAGGGGCACAGGTCACTTGGCCTGCAAAAGGCGGAGAACGCGGAGCAGGAGGAAAGGTCAGCCACCCTCACAGTACGGCCACGGGGGCAACCCTCCCTTGGCTTCCAGCTTCTGCCATAAGTAATAAAAAGGAGGCGGCCAGACAAACCAAGTGGCCACACCATGAAAATACCCTCTGGCTCACAGGGCCCATCTGAGCTCAACAAGGCAACTTTCTGGCCAGGGTCCAACCTACCTGAGGGACCGGCTTTCTGGCATAAGGGGGAAGGCACGTGTACCCACAGAGAGAGAGCCCTTCCCTCACCACTATGGGACCGCCAGCCTTTCTCACAACTCGAGAAATTAAGAGAAGTCTTGCAATGCTCCCTCTAAGCTGTGGAGTCTTGTGAGCAAAAATTGTACTTTGTGAGCTCCTGGCATTAAAGTTGTGAGCGAGCGATTTGGCTGCTGCATAGATTATTTTGCCCTGGAGCCACCCTTCCTGAGCTAAGGCAAAGAAGTGTGAGCCGGAGGCTAAAAAAATGTGAACTAGCTCACACTAAATCAGCTTAGAGGGAGCCGCCCTGAGCCCGTTCGTGGGGAGGGCGGGGTATAAATGCAATAAAATAAATAAATAAATAACACTGGTCTTAGGCCAAAGGTCTCTTCCGAGTACCCGTCAGCCCTGGGGACAGGCGGTTTCTTCCTTTGAACCATTGATGACCAGCTGTCTGCCCATGCAGGCACCCAGTGTGGCTTAGACACCACAAAACAGTCAGAAACAAAAGAATTTTATATATTTTAAAGGAAACCACCCCCACCCCCATTTAAGGCTGCTTTGAGTCTGAGCTGCTCCTGGCTGGGGGCACAAAAACGACCAAAATCCTCCCCTGAGCCCACAGAAGAGCCTGCTATTGCTGGAGCCGCTTTCTCCCCCTCTCGGGAGGGACCCAAGAGGCACTACGAGGAAGGTCAGAAGAGGGAAACGGAAAGGAGGGTCATGGCGGGGCGGCCATCTTGGCAGAGGAGGTGGCTGGAGATTTGGATGGTGAGGTCGTCAGATTGCGTTTGGAGAAGCAGGCGACAGCACAGGTCCTCCTGAGATAATGTTGGTGACGAGGAGGAAGCAGATATGAAAGCAGGGACGTGACTGAGGAAAGGGCCCTCTCCCTGAGGAGTGTCAAGAACGCATCAGGTGTCTTGGCTGAGGAGACTGAGGACGGAAAGCCCGCTGAGGGTGTCCCCGGAGGAGGAGCTCACCTGGGCAGAAGGCCTCGTCCGCTCCGGTGGGACAGTCCTGCTTGCTGTCGCAGACCAGAGCTTGGGAGAGACACTGGCCATCCGGACACTGGAAGTCCCCAGGGGGGCACACGCAGTCCCGCTCGTCGCTGAAGTCTCCGCAGTCATCGTGTCCGTCACAGCGGTGGAGGTACGGCAAGCAGCGCCCGACTGCGCACCGGAACTCGCCGGGCTGACAGGCCGGCCCGCAGCCTGAAAAGGGTGGGAAAGTTCATTTAGCCGTGGATTCGGGGCCAAGAAGCCTCACGGCAAGCCTGAGGGACCCGGCCTGCCTTCCTTGGTCACTCAGCCGGACATGGGGTGGCTCCGTTTCCAGGGCCGTACCTCCATCTCCTTGGCCAGCAACCCGTTCTTTGGGAGGATGACTTTGAGGGAAGGGAGGGTGGTGGACTCAAAGCCCCCTCCTCAGAAAAAAGCCCACTGGCACGTTCTATTGACACAGGAGAATAAAGTCTGAGTCCAGGGGCGCCTTTCAGACCAACCAAGTTTTATTCCTGGCATAAGCTTTTGCGTTAAAATATTATGTATCTTAAAAGCTTGCTTTAATGTGTTTGACTGCTCTCCGCCTTGGGAACCTTAAGCGAGGTGGAAAGGCAGCGGAAAAATGTTTTGAATTACTACTAAAAGCCCTAGCATTCCGGATTTGCCCTGCCCTCCTCCAGAGCCAGTTTGGTGTAGTGGTTAGGAGTGCGGCCTCTAATCTGGGAGGACCAGGTTTGATTCCCCACTCCTCTGCATGCAGCTGCTGGTGTGACCTTAGGTCAGTTACAAGTTCTCTCAGAGCTGTTCTCTCAAGGGCAGTTCTTGAGAGAGCTCTCTCAGCCCTGCCTACCTCACAGGGTGCCTGTTGTGGGGAGGGGAAGGGAAAGGAGATTGTAAGCCACTCTGAGACTCCTTCATACCATGGGGTATAAATCCAATCTCTTCTCTCTAATGACCTGCACAGCCTGTTGCCCTGAGAAATGGCCCAGCATGTCGCCACTGCTTTTTAACTTGTTCATTAATGATTTGGAGTTGGGAGTAAGCAGTGAAGTGGCTAAAGTTGCGGATGATACGAAGTTGTTCAGGGTGGTGAAAACCAGTGAGGATTGTGAGGCACTCCAAAGGGATCTGTCAAAGATGGGCGAGTGGGCGTCAACATGGCAAATGGGGTTCAATGTGGCCAAGTGCAAGGTGATGCACATTGGAGCCAAAAATCCTAAATATAAATACACGTTGATGGGGTCTGAACTGGCAGAGACTGATCAAGAGAGAGATCTTGGAGTTGTAGTAGATAACTCACTGAAAATGTCAAAACAGTGTGTGACTGCAATTAAAAAAAGGCCAATGCTATGCTGGGGATTATTAGGAAGGGTATTGAAAACAGAGACATCAGAGGGGCTGCAGGCACACCCATCTCCCGGCGTGGCACAGAAGGGGCTGGGCAGAGGGACGGGGAGGGGGGCTTCCTATACCCCCCCCACTCTTCAGGGACTTACCAGTTCCTGCACTCCTGCATCACCAGAGCACCCAGGGGGAACACGGTGCCCTCCCAGTAACAGGGGCACTCGGAGGCGTCGCTGCATTGGCCATCTGGCAGGGAATAAAACGGCACATAGAGCCAAGGACTGGCGACTGCTCCAACGTCCCCCGTGACCCTTCCCAGCCGAACACATTATTGCTCCCCACCGAAGAGGGCACGGGAGATCCCAGCAGGGACACCAAGGCTGCGGCCGAGAGGCTGGATGTGCGCGTGCCAGCCAGGGCTCGTGAGGGCCTGGTCTCTGAGACTCCAGCCAGCCGGACTGCTGGTCGGAGCAGGCCAGGGCTTTGGCCCACTGATGGAGCTTCCTAGCCCAGCAGGGGCTCCGAGCTGTGCCGCAGCCTGGCCCCCACGTGACCCTGGCACTACCAGCCCAAACCCCAAGAGCCTCACTGGTCCCTCGGGTACTCCTGAACGCCAGGCTACGGAAGTTCTACGGCAGAGCAACCCAGCCACCCTTTGCGGCTGGCAGGAGCCAGTCCCTGTCCCTGATGGCGGCAGACGAAGGTGCTTGGCCAAGCAGAGAGTGGGGGCTGCCCCCTGTTGCTGTTGCTGCTGTTGTTGTGCCCTATGAAAGGGTCCACCCCTGGACTGGCTGGTCTAGGCAGCAGCCAGTGATTTCTATGGAGTAATCAGAACATCCTAGCTAGCGGTGCGGAGGCACAGCCAAGGGCCGGGAAGCTTTTGATTCAGGGAAGACTCCACTGGAATGCTCACAATGTCCCCCCCCCCTCCATCAGCACCAACCCTTTAGCTGTCTCTCCTCCTAGGGTTGCCACCCTCCAGGTGGGCCCTGGAGATTTGGAATTACAAATGATTTCCAGAGATCACAGAATCACAGAGTTGGAAGGGACCTCCAGGGTCATCTAGTCCAACCCCCATGCACAAGGCAGGGAATTAACAAATACCTCCCCCCTCCACACCCCCAGTGACCCCTGTTCCATGCCCAGAAGATGGCAAGAAACCTCCAGGATCCCTGGTCAAACTGGCATGGAGAAAATTTGCTTCCTGACCCCAAGGCAGGCAAACTCTGTCTCGGCACAGTGGGGTGCGGGGGCGCACTGCTCCAGCGGCGCCGTGCATTGCCACAAGCCTGCCTCGCACGAGCTGTGGGAAGAATACACATCAGAGGGGCTGCAGGCGCACCCATTTCCTGGCGTGCTTCGTGTGGCATCTGGCCAAGACGGTGTGCCTGGGGCTGGCTTTTCTGCCATGGGGTTGCACTTGGGGGGGGGTGAGTTGCCCAGTAAAAAAGCCTGGCTGGGCAGCAGTGGTTCCATGGTCCTGCGGGATGGGCACAAGTTCCGTGTTCGCCAAGCGTACACGGCAAGCTTGGGATCCAGCGCAGAATTTGGCACGGAGAGAACGTCCCCTTTGATGTTCCTTAAAGCCGGTTTCCATTCTGTGTGGCTCAGGGGACATCCTGGCTCTCGGGAGGCACAGAAGGGGCTGGGCAGAGGGACTGGGGAGGGGGGCTTCCTATCCCCCCCCACTCTTCAGGGACTTACCAGTTCCTGCACTCCTGCATCACCAGAGCGCCCAGGGGGAACACGGTGCCCTCCCAGTAACAGGGGCACTCGGAGGGGTCGATGCATTGGCCATCTGGCAGGGAATAAAACGGCACATAGAGCCAAGGACTGGCGACTGCTCCAACGTCCCCCGTGACCCTTCCCAGCCGAACACATTATTGCTCCCCACCGAAGAGGGCACGGGAGATCCCAGCAGGGACACCAAGGCTGCGGCCGAGAGGCTGGATGTGCGCGTGCCAGCCAGGGCTCGTGAGGGCCTGGTCTCTGAGACTCCAGCCAGCCGGACTGCTGGTCGGAGCAGGCCAGGGCTTTGGCCCACTGATGGAGCTTCCTAGCCCAGCAGGGGCTCCGAGCTGTGCCGCAGCCTGGCCCCCACGTGACCCTGGCACTACCAGCCCAAACCCCAAGAGCCTCACTGGTCCCTCGGGTACTCCTGAACGCCAGCCTAGCTGTTCTACGGCAGAGCAACCCAGGCGCCCTCTGCAGCTGGCAGGAGCCAGTCCCTGTCCCTGATGGCGGCAGACGAAGGTGCTGGGCCAAGCAAAGAGTGGGGGCTGCCTCCTGTGGCTGCTGTTGTTGTGCCCTATGAAGGGTCCACCACTGGACTGGCTGGTCTAGGCAGCAGCCAGTGATTTCTATGGAGCCATCAGAACATCCTAGCTAGCGGTGCGGAGGCATAGCCAAGGACCGGGAAGCTTTTGATTCAGGGAAGACCCCACTGGAATGCTCACAATGTCCCCCCCCCC